ACAAGCACCTTCTCACATGTCTTTTCGCTCCTTGGGCTGCTTCCCTGCTAGGCTCTTACAAGTGCTAAAGCCTTGGAAAGGTTTGGAAGCGCTAGACTCTGTCAAGACCAAGCTTGGTCAAGTCTCTCGCAAATGCTAAAACTTGGTGAAGTCTCTGGCAAATGCTCAAACTGGGTCAAATTTCTTGTAAAGGCTAAAGCTTGGTCAAGTCCGTTGCAAACGCAAAAAGTTGGTCAAGTCTCTGGCAAATAGAAACTTGGCGAGATTTTGCAAATGCTGCTAAAACTTGATCAAGTCCACCTCTTGTACTACACGTCTACTCCAAAATCTTCAACTTGACCACATCTGAGGCCACCTCACACAGAAGCTGCTTCCCGTACTACATTTGTACTGCGAGAGGGTCACGCAAGCAATGGGCAGAATTCGCATTTCGCCACGACAGGCACGATCCTGCGAGAGTCACCGCGCAAACATGAGCAGAATTCGCATTTCGCTACGCGTTTGGGCACTCGACCAGCCGGATCCTGCGAGAGGGTCGCCTGAGCACGGGTCAAATTTGCATTTCGCTACACGGTGCACGTTTGGGCGCTCGACAGGCCGGATCCTGCGAGAAGGTCGCCCGAGCATGGATCAAACTTGCATTTCGCTACACGTTTCGCACTCGACAGGCCGGATCCTGTGAGAGGGTCCGCTCGAGGACCTTCGCGTTTCGCTACAGGTTTGGGCACTCGACAGGCCGGATCTCCTGCGACAGGGTCGCTTCTCGCGTGCTCTCGCAGCGAGATGTCAAGACAAAACGTGGTAAAGTCTCTCGCAAGCGCTAAAACTTGGCGAAGTCTCTCGCAAATGCTAAAACTTGGTCAAGTCTCTCGCAAGTGCTAAAACTTGGCCAAGTCTCTCGCAAGGCCAACCTCTCGCAAATGCAGAAACTGGGTCAAATCTCTGGCATATTATGCAAAAACTTGATCAAGTCTCTCGCAAACGCTCAAACTTTTACAAGTCTCTGGCAAACGCTGAACCTTAGTCATGTCTCTTGCGTATGCAAAAACTTGATCAAGTCTCTTGCAAATGCAAAAACTTGGCCAAATCTCTTGCAAATGCAAAAACTTGACCACGTCTCTTGCAAGTGCTAGACTCTTACAAGTGCCAAGCCCTGAGAAAACTCTTGCAAGTGCTAAAGCCTTTGCAAGATTTTGCATCTTTGGGTGTGAATCTGTCTGTTCTAAGTGACTGTCCAAGGTGAATCTTCTACCGCGGTCCTTTTGCAAAAGTGAAGCTCTGTGTTCTAAGGGAAAGTCTAAAAGGTGACTCTTCTACTGTGATCTAGTTTGATCCTTCTGTAAAGTGAAACTGCTGGTTAAAAGTGAGAGTCTAAACTGAATGTTTAAGGTGAACCTTCTGCTCTGATCTTTCTTTGATGTGAACCTGTCTCTTCCAAGTGAAAGTCAAAGGTGATTTTTTAAAGTGGATCTTCTATTCTCATCTTTCTTTACGGTGAACTTGTCTGTTCTAGTTGAAAGTACTAGGTGAATCTAAGCTGGACTCTTTTACCTTGATCCCTTTTGCAAGTGGACCTGTTAGCTGTTAGTGGCAGACAAATTCTCAAGTGAATCTTTTATAACGATACCCCATGAGAAGGGTATCTATGTTTTGACACGTATAGCTTTGAAGAAGTATCCATTGAACACATGAAACGACATGCGAAAAGTTTGTAGGTTAGACAAAGAAATAACGTGACACTTTTCGATGTAAAACAACTAAATAACCTACTGTAGCACTTTTGAGGTTGTTTGACCTCTTCAACGATCAGTTTAAACAACTTTCCTGACTGATTGTTTGAACACACTGCCTAACTAGTAGTCAGGAAACAAGAGATACCCTAATAGTTAGAAATCTGCCCAGCCGAAGCTATTGGGCAGTATCACTTTCTGCAGGGCCCTCGTCCTCCGAATGATGCACCGCTGTCTCCGACTCATTCTCAGTGGGCTGATTTTAATGTCCTCTGCCAACACCCAACTACGCAACCCAGGAAGCACCACTGTCTTATCCGCAGGCCAGTTCCGAACCAAACATGCGAGTCTTTGATCGATTTGAGTGATCCGGAGATTCCAGGTGTCAACTAGGGCCTTATTGTGCTTCACTGATTGAAGTACCTTCGCACGGACACTCAACACGATATGTGTGCTGACAAAAGGCAATCGATTGGGGCTATGTAGTGAGGACTACACCTGGGCTCAAACAAGTGGTATCCTCAAGATATGAAATCCAGCTATCCGGATGAGGCTGTAGTAGTGGTAGCAGTAATTTTTCATTTGATTTGATCGATTCCTTTTCGATGGGAAATTAATGGAATTCGTCTTCAGAATTCGTCTTCGTCTGCGGGTGGAAAGTCGATACCCGCACAGCGGGTCCAATATATATAGTAGAAACAAGGGCATCGCTACTAGGAACAAGTGCATCGCTTCTACTAACAAGTGCCTTACTAGTAGTAACAATGTTTGCTAGTAGAAACAATATGAAACAATATAGAATCAATCAACTTTGTATTATTTGTATATGGCAAAAACATCGCTCCTAAAAAGTCGACCTTGGAACAAGAAGCTATTAGGTTCACGTTAACTTTATTGAATTCAACAAATGGGAACTCCTTGCTTTTCTGGCTCCATGGAGCCCAGTCCCATCTGACCTTCCGGGTAGATTCGTTTTCAAAAACAACTCGACTTTTCGGTGAATGTCTGCGCCACCTTCGTGGCTTGGAGACGGTAGACAGTAGACACCCAATTCCAGTCCTTTTCCCTCCCACCTCTCGGTCTCACCCATTTCGACCACACGACACCCCTGTGGCGCACATCGACCACATGGCCCCGACGGGAAAAGGCGACGAGCGACGACTCCACCTGCGTCCACACTTGTCGTAGCGGGGTGATCACTTTCTCCTTGGCCGCGTAAGGCACCACGATGGCGTCTAAGACGCACATGGCGGAGTCCTGGCGCAGAGTGGCACCGGTGAAACCGGTGGGTCGACGGCACGTTGTGTTTGTGTTTGCTACAGCCGCTTCTGTTTCAAAAGAACTGTGTTGCGACCAAAAAAAAAGCTCTTCAATTGCCCAAAACGACACCAAGTTGCCCAAAGAGGTGTTCTTCTCCTTGAGATTTCACCATGCCAAACACATCCATGTTCGCGCTCGACACGTTTGTCCTGGCAATCGGTGAAGACCATGTTCAAGGCGAAGCCGTCCACGGTGGGAGCGCCCAAGAGCGCCACCTCACTGAAGCCGCCAGCCAGCCTCACCACGAATGGCGGCGTCGTCTGTGCTACCTACCAATGGCGCCAATGGGTTCTTCATGGTTCTTCTGTCAGATTTCTTTGTGATATAAGTCTGCAAATGGCATATACAGTACGTCAGTTTGTTGGATGCTTTTGGACCAATGATTCCTGCCACATCTTCACTTTTGTAGAGGTTTTCATGCCCCAAACGTTCCCAGGAGCAAGGACGCTACTAGGGGCTCCTGGCCGTACTACTAGGAACAAGAACGCTACTAGCAAAGGGCATCGCTACTAGGAACAAGTGCCTTACTACTAGGAACAAGAATGCTACGAACGGGGCCCCACCTTCACTCCTTTTGCCAAACATCCAGAACCCTAAAACGACGCACCGGGAGTCACGACCCGTCCTTTTAAGGCGCTGCGACCTCCTTCGACCTCCGCGCGGCGCGCCTCCGGTATCGGGTCATCACATCGGGACGCGCCACCCAGGGCAAGGCGCCTCGGTGGCGAGGGTGAAGGTCGTTGGAAGGGTGAAGGTCGTTGGGGGATTCTGCAAAATGTGGAAGTACCGATGAGACAGTGGAGTATCCTCTTATTTCATCTGTTGAAGTCATACTGGGTGCTTGGGGTCTTTTGCTCTGGAGTTCTCCCAACTGGGATCACATCAACTGACCTGATTCTATGCCCATCCCTACTAGGTTGGAGGCCATCGCTATTAGAAACCAAGGAAAAGGAAGAGAAAAGGGGTCGACTTGAGAATGCTGACTGCCGGGAATCAAGAAAGGAACAAAGAAAAACGGTCGGGTCTATACCAGGAACATGGAGTTGGGTGGTCTTTAGTCATAAGTGAGTGGATGTGATGTTTGGGCACCTGCACTCCTTCCTCCCTTTGTGACTCACACCTGTGGGAGCAATGTTCGCTACGAACGGAGCAAGGGCCGTACTACTAGGAACAAGAAGCTAGTAGTAACTAGCTCCTGGCATCGCTACTAGCAGCAAGGACGCTACTAGGGGCTGCTGGCATCGCTACTAGGAGCAAAGAAGCTACTAGTAGCTCCTGGCCATACTACTAGGAGCAAGAAGCTAGTAGGAACAAGAAGCTACTAGGAACAAGTGCATCGCTACTAGTAACAAGTGCCTTACTACTAGGAGCAAGGACGCTCCTCGTTTCGACGCCACCTTCGATGCGACCGAAGAGACCGGTGGTGCGTTGCTCACAGGGCCGCCCGAAGACACCACCGCCGCAGGCGCAGCAGGCGCTGGACGCGTCGACGCCTGCTGCGAGCGGGCGGGTTGCTCATGTGAAGCCGTGCACCAAACGCGTCTGAGCAACATGGATAACATGCGGATAACAGGGATTGGGGAATGATTATGATTGGGGTTTCATTCCAGTTTTACGCCCAAGCGAGACAATTCAACTGAAAACATCTAATGATTCCAGCAATCGTTGAGAGTGTCTTGGGGAGTTCCTTACTTTGTGAACGCGAGCTTGGTTTGCCGACACCTTCGGCAAAAACACCGTCTTGCACACCGTCTTTAAAAGAAGCCTCCACTTTAGACCTCGTGCTCTTTTTGATCTTTTCAATGAACAGGTTATGTTCAAAGTCCGCCCAGAGTGCGAGCTTGTCAAAAGAACAGAAGATCAGACCAGCATCATCAACCGCGGTTGGGTGTACTTTGGATGGACGTTCACTGACTCAAAGAAGACCGCTGACTCAAAGAAGCAGTCACTTTTTCCAATCTCCTTGCTCTGCACAATTAGATGGAGTCTGTCAGACCACCCCCAGCACCCGAACATGAGGCAGTTTCAAAAAGGGCACCCTCAAGCGAGAGCAGCGAGAGATCTACAACCGGAAGGCGCCTCAGATATGATTTCGAGGCGTTCCGAGTGGAGGTTAGACATCGAACGTCAAGTCCCGTCAAGTTCCTTAAAACTGGTCCCATGGCCACCACCACGGGACCCGGAAAAAGTCGCTGGTTAAAACTCGTCTAGCTAAGCCGTCCGGGCTCACCAAGCACCCATGGACGCTTGGTGCAAAGGATGCGGTATCCCAACTGAGCTTCCACAAACTTGATTCGCCTCATGAACTCGTCCCGCGCTGCGCGGTACAGACTCCAGTCTCCTCGGGACAGCTTGGCCACCTTCAACTTGATATGATCACTGAGAAGCTCCGCATCGTGTGTTGGGACATTGTGCCTTTCATGATGCAACTGCAAGGCGTCGGAAGAAACCCGGCAATTGCAGTTGTTGAGAGGCAAGAAGAGTTGAAATCGCAGCATACACACTGAAGCTGCATAATGTTCGAAGATTCCCACAAAGGCCAAGCTCCGCATATTGAACACCGCGGCAGTGCTCCTGAAAGCCGATCGGGTGGTGATGCCCTCCGGCCACAGATCGCGGCAGGTCATAAATCTCAGCAATGAAAATCATCGAAATTTCGAGTTCTCACGCCTTGGACTCCGGAATGCGACTCATTCCTGTAACCAAAATGATCCAGCCATCTTTCAAAGGCAGGAACATGACCTTGCGAGATGTTTTCAGCTGGATCTCTGGGGAAGATAGTGTTTCTGGTGGCTTTCTTCCCCCAGTCATCGTACTTGCACTCCAAATACAGTGAATAGACATGATGAAGAGGATTACGAAAAACGCTCAGAATGTACTCCTCTCCTGTTCGATTCAAATCATGAAAGCACCATTCGTCTAAATATGGTGACCCGTGCTCAAAGGTCACACCGTCCTGTTTGAACTGCCTGTATAAAGACGTCCCACCCGTTTTGGGGATATGCAGCAGGGTCACTATAGCACTTCGATTCTCGATGCGCTTCACGGCTTTTGGTGAGAGTGATCGGATGCTGACGGCCAAGATCTGGCTGCTCACATCGGTCCATTCAGGAGCCACGTGTGCAACATATCCCAGAGAGACAAGCAAAAACACCAGCACGTTGATGCGAAGACACACTCGGGAGATGCTCACGCCCATGACCATTCGAAAAAAGAAGCAAAAACAATCTCTACCAACAAAGAACACTGTTGATCTTCAGAAGAGCTATTCAATTGGATCTGTTCTTGAACTCTAATATCTGAGCCTTCAATGGCGCACACCGAGTCGCCCCTCGTGCAGAGGGAAATCGGTGATGTTTGACGAAACTCACAGGTTCAAACATGTGTCGAGCCATCTCGTCCCCAAAACGAGATGGTCGAGGCACAATGACTGTTTGTCAAGCGATTTAACCACTCTTCTTCCACCTCATCGCAATACAACAAGTAACAAGTCGAGCGTAAAGTCTGGAAATTCGACTCTTCCAAAGACCCAAACCTCGTGTACCCCTCTAACTCTTCTCACCTCTACACCGCTCCACCGCCCCGAAGCGCGGTAAGAAGCGCTCCGTTCGCGGGTGGCCTCCGGTGGCGAGATCCTGCAAGGTGAGCCCCGCAAAGCCCTGGACCAGGCGCACGTCCCACAGCCCACTGGAGCCCCTGTGGACGGCGCTGGGTGGAGAGCGCGTGGGGCGTACGTGGGTGGAGAGAGAGGAAGCGTTTGGAATTGGGGTCTTAGGATGTTGGTCCGGGCTAGGTGTATGGGGTACCCTGAGGTAGTAGGGTTTTTATTGGTCTCACACGGATTAGAACTGCTAACCCTTTCAGCTCAAACACCGGAGATCTGCTTCTACCACGAGAACTGACCCTCAAAAGCACGGAAGAAAAGCCCCAGCATACCTAGGCCATCACTGCGAGGAGACCAGAGACGGTCTCGCGTTCAAAACACGCTGCCGAAGTCTTCAACGTCCAAGGCACCAGCCAGTGGTGTAATACACCTGACAACGAACGTCTGAGGCCAGTCTTTAACTCGAAACATCTCAAAACCCCAACCAGACATAAGATATACCAAGCATCTGGGGAGATCTCTATAGGATTCCTGAAACTTGATACCTGATTCTCCTGTGAGGCGTGGATGATTGCCTTTTCCGATTCTCATGGAAGACTTCGATCGCACCTGAATCAGTGCTTCCATCGATTTTGCATAAAAAAAGCAAGAAACCTCCAACTGAGCAGAAACAGTTCTGCAACGCTCGATGCTATTTCCTTTTTTCTCGGGCTTCAGGTGTTTAACCCCAAGAGACATCTCTATGTCACCGATGGGTTTGAACCCTTACAGCTCTGGGACTTCTTCGATTGGCAGTGGCTGGATCTGTCACTTGCTTTGATAATCCCACTTTCCGCTGGACTAGCCATATTAGCACTGAAGAGTGGATTACCATTTTGCATTTCGTGGGTCTCACATGCCTATCCACATCTCAATCAGAGCCGTCCGTCTCATCTGGAAGCTACTAGGAGCAAAGGGCATCGCTACTAGGAGCAAGTGCCTTACTAGTAGTAACAAGAAGCTATTAGGGGCTCCTGGCCTTACTACTAGGAGCAAGGACGCTACGAACGGGGCTCCTGGCATCGCTACTAGGAGCGGCGCTACTAGGCCGTCCGCGGTGCCCAACTCCTTCCCCCACCTGGTTGATGGCGCTGACGTTGGTGGCCTCGCATCGGCACTCCGGCTGCACCGGGTTTGTGGGGACGCAGCGTCGGGTTCTCCCAACCGGAGCCCAACTCATCGTCACACTTCGCACAACTCATCAGCTGGAGTCTGGATGCACTTGTTACTAGTAGCTTCTTGTTTCTACTAGCTTCTTGTTACTACTAGTAAGGCACTTGTTACTAAAAGCGATGCACTTGTTACTAGTCTGATTTCGATTTTCCAAGCCACGTTGTCATACCAACCGTAGTTGACCACCACCTGCTTCGTGAGATAGGAGCCCTGAAGGATTTGATCCTTCCAAAACTCCTCCAGTCACACACGGATGGCATAGCAAAACGGACCAAACATTAAAAAACCACGACACACGGAAACCCTTGCAGCAGCAGCAGCTTCACCCGGGTGGTCCCTGGGTGAAAAAAACAGGTAAAAGGGGGGTTCTGAGGAGGATTTGTTCATCAACCACCTCGTTGAATCTTCTTGGCTCTTGAAAATTATTGTTGAGCCTTTGTCGTTATTCTCTATGGGGTTTCTGGGGAAAATGTGGTGCCAAAAATCACTATGTTATGTGATATTCAACGAGGTGGCTGATTGTTTAGGTTGTTTTGTTTTATTTTGATGTTGGGGTTTATAGGTTGTAGTTATGCTATAGTTATAGGTTGTAAATGTTTATGATGTATAGTTATGTTGTAGTTTTATGCTTGCCACGTTCCTATTCCATCCCACCAGTGTTCTATCACTCTCATTTGTGTTGTGATAAGTTTCTCTGCGTTGTCCCGTTCAACATCGGCAAGGTCTAGTTCAACCAACGCGAATGATAGTAAAGTTAAGTTTATAATCATAGCGTCTCTTTCTCCTTTACTGTTGAGTTTCTTTCCACATTCTATTATAACCTTTTTGTGTTCATACATTCTTTTTATAGTTTCAAAGTCTGCTAAAGCAAAGATTACAATAGCATCTACTTTTCCAACATATTTCATTCTATGAATTGCTTTATGCCAGAATTCATTATCACCCTCATAATCTATTGAAGGCATCGGAAGACACTTTACAAAGTCTCTAATCTCTTCATCCTCTTTTTCTATCTGTTCTCTCTACCAGTCATCATTCTCACTATCACTACCGACCTCAACATACAACCCTACATTTTCTGATACTTCACTCATATCATAAATTTTAGTGCTTGTCATTTGTCTCTTAATATATATAGGTATGTTTTCTTTAAGTGTTTATAGTTTTTTGTAGGTGCTCTTCTATTTCGGGTTCGTCGATGTAGTGTTCATAATACCTGAAGAGTTCTTTGAGATATTCACGCAAGAAGATTTCCAACATGTTTTTTACTATATATCAACGTTGTCTGAAATTCTAAATCGCTCCATTCTCTGGCAACCACCATGCTTCTATCTTTCTCATATAGTTAAGTCATAAATTCAAGGTCGTGAAAGTTTTTGAGGATGTGATAGGTACATTTCCAGTTCTTTTTTACATACGATTTGATTGCTTGTAGATATAGTTTATTGTGCTGAAACTCCATCTTTAGTGCCAGTGTGTCCATCAACACGTCTATCTCCCTTCTCATCTGTCTCACGCTTGTTTTGTTAGTGTTGCTTAAAAAGATGGGTGATGGCATCTCTGTTTGGAAGAAATGTATTTGTTTTCCCGTTGTTGTTAGTGGTTCAGTGTCCTTTAGGTAATGGGGTATTCTTTTTGATTGGTTTTCTTCCTTTATGTATTCGTTTTCCTGGAAGATTAAATTGTTACATTTGAAACAGTGGGTGTTGTAATCACATATCATATCACAAACTCCGGCGGGGAACATGTTGTTTAGTAGAACCTTCACCTTGAAACTTGTATCTCTACAACATCTACAGTTTCCATAAGTACATATCATCTCTTAATATATATATATAGCTAATTTGTCTTTAAGTTGTTTTGGGTGGCTGGTTCATTTTGGGGGGTCTGGTTGGCATTCCATTTTTGAAGAAATATATTAATATCTAATAGTATAACATGGCAAGAAGCTTAGCAAAAGAGCAGATTATAAGCAATGTCTATTGCGATTTGGAAAAGGGCTTCGGGTCTATCCAAGACACACTAAAACAAGCGAAAGAAAAAGACCCATCCATAACGAGAGTGGATGTAGAAACCTTTATGAAAAAACAGCCCAACACACAGATTAGAGGCTATAGGGGTTCAAACTCATACACCGCCCCTTTCTCAAGGTTTGAATATCGGATTGATATAAAGGATATGGTGCCACTCACAAGAGAACCGGAAGTGAAAATACCAAGAAAGAACAATGAACCGAGATATGCTTTAGTTGTCATAGACATCTTCAGCAAGTTGGCTAATGCCGTTCCTACGAAGAATAAAGATGGAGCATCAGTCCTACCAGCGTTGAAAGAGAGTTTTAAGAAGATGGGGTTTCCTATGTCAACAAACAGTGATGATGACGGTGCTTTCAAGAGTGTTAAAGAGTTCGTTGAGGCGGAAGGCATTAATCACATCATCACACTCACACACGCTAATGTTGTAGACAGATTTATCAGAACCTTGAAGAATATGGTATATGATAGGGTCAGATTTAATCAGGCAGGATGGACGAGTATGCTTCCCTATGTCTTGAAGAAATACAACAGCACCAAACACTCATCCACAAAACTATCACCCAACCAAGCGCACGACGACAAGAACCATATGGATGTTAAAGTAAATCTTACAAGAAGAGAAAAGAACACGAGGAAGTATGTTGAAATAAAGGAGAACGATACAGTCAAAATCTTTAGCAAGGGAAGAGGCAACTACACGGATAGGAAGGAGACGACCAGCAAATGGTCTAAAGAAAACTGCAAAGTGAGGAAGATAGAATACGACACGACCGGCAACAGAACCTTCAAACTGGAAGGATGGCAGATGGACTAAACCCTTCCTTCGCCATGAGATATTAAAGGTTTGACATTATCTCATATATCAGTTCTTCGGGTATTCTGTATAGTTCATCTTGTGTCTTCTTCCTCTGTTCGTTCCATCTGCCTCTACACGGTAGTCTCTGTGCTGTCTCTTTGTGTCTGTTGCCTATCATACTATTACAGTATTTCTTACATAAGGGTCTGGGTTTCCAACTCTTTAGATTAGTCCATAATCTGGCGCGCTTCATATATTCAAAACCATATTTACAAAAATCAACATCATAGTAATCAAAATCTTTCATAAAGTCCTGTTCCTTTAACAGACCTGTTTGTGGATTTTCTATGAAGAATACTCTGGGTTGAAAGTAGTTAATGATTTCAATAGTTTTCCTAACCATGCTGTTGGCATAATCTATGCTTCTAATGCCTGTAGTTTTTGCTCTGCTATATTCAGTGCAAGGAGGTGATGCCCAAATTATATCAACATCTTTATCATATTGTTTATAGTTCCATTGTAATATATCTTCGTTGATGTGAGCGTTCTTCAAATCCAATGATATTACACTAAATCCGAATTCACGCGCAACTCTACCAACACTGCCTGTTCCGCTAAATAACTCCAATAGTTTCATATTAAACCTTTATAGATTTTAATATGACAATATGCTTTTTCACCTTGTATAATCAAACTCGGACTCGTCCCAATATTTGTATTTGTTAGTCTCCTCATCATGTTAATCTTGTAATACATCAATGTCTGGTCTTTAGGTTGAGTGATTTTACCCGTGTTTATCCATTCCAAGTATTGTTTCCTCTTATCATCCCACGAACCGACGGGTCTTCCCATCTTCCTCTTTTCAAAGATTTTATCAATCCTTTCCTTATCCTCCTTCTTCTCTTCCTTTTTAGGTTCAGTGAGTTTCCCCTCAATGGTCTTCAAAGTCTCCATT